TTCATTTTCTTATGCCCTCCTTGTCATTATTCCACTTAAGAGAAAGAACTATTTTTATTTATTGAAAAGAAAGCAACAAAGCAAGCAAACCTCAGAACAAATACTTTATGCTCCCAAAGCCTACACCAAAGGTGTTATTTGAATTAAGCAAGAACGGGCTCTGACTATAATTTGTCATGTTAGCCTTCAAAATGAGAAATATCAAAGAAGTTAATAATCATGATGTATCAACTCATTTTGGAAAAAAAACCCTTATTATTTCAAGAAAGATTAAAACAACAAGAACATGGTGAGTCACAATGACACCAGTACAAGGTTTTTTCAAGTTTTGTGGTGCCACGTTCCCCTAAATTTTCACATATGAAGACTGATCTTTTTCATTCCTCGATATCACAAATTAAGGAATAAATAATAGGTTTTAACTTTGGAATGGTTGAGAAAGGCAGTGATTTTGGAATGTAAGGCTAGCAGTAAAAACCTTCCGCAGAAAGAATTCCTTTTATATGCAGGATGCATATTCAAAGGAACACAGGATGGCGTTTTTTGACAGTCAAGGAATTGGTCCTTGCTGCTGTATTGTGAGACCTGAAGACATAAAGAGAAAGTGCTTGATGTGCCTTTTGAGCATAGATGGTGAACGTTTTTAACCTCACTGCCCCTTTCTAATAGTTACTCTATGGTAAATAGATAGTTAACATAATTGTAAAGGCTTTACTAGTGAAGAGGCATCAGCTGCAATCTTAAACTCACTGCCTACTTTCTGCTTAGAATTGGGCTGAAACAATATAGTTTGGTGACCAGAGACTTACTGAACAAAATAGATATATGTACACATAAAAATGTGGGAGAATGTTTCATCTATTAATCATAGTTATGCAAATAAGTTCTTATCAAAAAGAAATACATAGACATTATATTCTTCATTAGGTGCTTAATTCCCAGTATTTTCAATACGAGCCAAGCTAGAAATTCATATTTATCCCACTCTGCCTGGAAAAGTTGGTTATTCAGAAAAGCTGGAATACAATCTTCTCAGGATGTGATTTTGCCTGTGTATGCAAAGCCAGTTCCTTGTAAGATACACTCCAGACCAGGGTTTCTCAACCCTGGCAACTTTAAGCTGTGTGGACTTCATCTCCATACAACTCCCAGAATTCCCCAGCTGGCTTTAAGTCCACACATCTTAAAGTTGCCAAAGTTGAGAAACCCTGGTGTGGAGCATCCTTCCAATTCTGTTCAGATAAGTAGGAAGAATCTGAGGTTTTTGGCTTAGCTGTGTGCACAATTTAAACATCCAGTTCAAATGAATGTTGATCAAAAAAAATTAATCATGTGTATACACTAATAGGAGAAACCAATAGAGAGAATTGTTTTACCACAGATCAGGACACAAGATAATACTAAGGGAAACACAGGTGCCATTCATGCTGTGAAAACATTAGGCACATTTTTTGGAATGCAAAGTAGCAGCTTTGATATATGAGAGTTGTCAAGGCTCTGTTACTCTAACAAACGGACCCTCTACTTTACTGGGGAAGGAGGGAGTGAGAAGGAAGCAAAGCCATGTACATCCTTGAATCTATTCTCTAGGCACAAACGTAAGCATTTAACAATAAACTGCAGTCATAACAAGAATTCCTCACTTAAAAGAGCCATCAGAAAAATATAATAGCATATATGCAAGCAAGGTTATTGAATAGTATAATTAATTCAAGCTAAATGTTATTCCAATCACCATAGAGTGTTAGATTTAGGGTGAATTTTTGTGGTCAGTGGTCAGTGTTTCCCTTACATCTATGTTACAATACAGATTTATTACTGGGGTTAGAATTATAGTTAATAAGTTTATTGGTGTTAGAGTGAAATTAGGGTTGGAATAAGGGATATAGTTAAATTTAGTGTACGGATCAGTACAGTATGGGTATGATGTCCTGTTTTGGTTTAATACTGATAAGTGTGTTAATATGTTATTAGAAAGATCAACAATGTTTAAAAATGTGAATGTACTTTTGAACTATATAGCAAAAATCTGGGATGTGTTACTATATGAAGAACTACTGAGCTTGATTTATACATTTGTGTGTGTGTGTGTGTGTGTGTGTGTATTGGAAAGACAATACAACTCCTGGATTACAATCTTGGTTCTATAATATGTGTTCACTTTTTGTTTATGAACTCATTCTGTATCAATATAGTGGAAAGACTGATCAGTGTAACTCTGGTCATAGTTTAATTAGGTGTTTAAAAATTGGGTTGACTGACTTTCTCTGTATGTAATATATGTTGCTATTTTCTTCTGTTCTGCTGTTTTTTCTCCCTGTTGTAAGTTATTGTAGTTTTGCCTCTTTTTAATTTTTCTTCCTTTTTCTCTATATTAAACCATAAAAATAAATAAATGTCTAAGCTCAAACCTTAAAAAGAATTAAAAAAGGAATTAGCTTTCATTTGAAGCAGATTTACAGTTTTGAAGTTCTTTTGGAGCTTGCTTGGCAAGACCTCCCCCAAAGAGTGGATGAGAATTTCATTCAATTCATTTACTTTCAAATAGCTTATCAAAATCTGCATTTTTTTTTATATATATAGGACAGTCATCTCTTGAAATGCAAAAAAAGAAAAGGAAGGAAGGGAAGGAGGGAGGGAGGGAGGGAGGGAAGAATCATTTGGATAAAAGATAGATTATCAAATGTGTCCATTTTCTAATTAAATCTCTTGGGAGATATTTACTGTCTTTAATGGCTATTCAGGTTTATCTTCTGAATATTTATGCTTCTATTGTGTTTATGATAGCTTTAATATTGTACTGTAGTCACTTTATCTTTGTGAGCAGTGAGGTTGTTAGGCTGAATGATAGTGACACCCAATCACCCAACAATTTTCATAACTGACTGGGATTTGTACCTGGGTGTCCCCAGACCATGATATTTTCATAAATTAAAGAAGTGAAAGGTATCTGAAAAGTCTAATGTAGTGTAATGTGCAGTTAACATTCATATTACAACATTTGCTATTACATCCCTGATAAATGGCCACCCAATCACTGTTTACAGCTCCTAACAAAGGAGGTTCTATCATGGCTGGTGTGGGTCTTCCGGGCTGTGTGGCCGT